TAAAAGAACTAAGAAATATGTCCTGAAAGAAGTGCAGTCAGAATGCTATTTGCAAGCGAGATTGTCCAGACTTCGTCTCACCTGCTTTGGACCATTGCTTGAAGAAAGATATCATGGTTGGTAAAATGGAGGGTCGACGAAAAAGGGGAAGGCCCTCACCAAGATGGACTGACACAGTGGCTTCAGTGATGGGCTCAGGTATAACAAGAATCCTGAAGCTGGCACAGGACTGGATAATGTTTCATTCTGTTGTACGTAGGGTCACTGCATCAGAGACAATTCAATGGCACCTAACAACAACAACAGTAATAGTTTATAAGCAAGGAACATTTGATCAGAACTTTTATTATAAATATCAGTTATTTTTAAACAATCATTTTGCTACTGAAGGGTCATAAAATAGTTATGGGTATAAAACAAGTGTAAGAAGAAGGCAAAAATCGTAAACATTCAGAGAAGTATCCCAGGGATTCAAAGATTGGAGTCAGAAACTGTTTGCATAGAAAACATCTCAACAGAATGTTACTAAATTTTATGGTCACAGAGAGATGGTTTGGGTATGATAAACTATGTTATTCCAAGATAACTAATTGGGTATTGGAAATGGCAGATTTTGAGGTTATAAATTAACACAATTCATCCATTTGACAAAAATCTATTGAGTACTTACTATATTCTGTGCTTTCATAGAGTACTTACTATTATATTCTATGCTTTTCTGACACCACTTGTTTGTCAATTTGTCATACTGTAGTAGCTTGCATGTTGTTGTGAGGGTGGAAGATATACTACCAATATTTCAAATACCAGTAGGGTCACGCATAGTGGACATGTTTCACTGGAGCTTCCAGACTAAGATAGAAGAAGGATGGGAAGAAGGATGGAGCCATCCACTTCTGAAAAAATTGGCCACTGAAAGAAAACCTTATGAAAGCAGTAAAACACTGTCTATTACTAGAAAACTTTATGAATAGCCATGAGACATTGTGTGATATGGTGCGGGAAGATGAGCCCCTCAGGTTAGAAGGCACTCAGATTACAACTGGGGAAGAGCTGCCTCCTCAAGGTAGCATTGACCTTAATGATGTGGGTAAAGTGAAGCTTTTGGGACCTTCTTTTGCTGAAGGGGCACCACTCAAAATGGAAAAAAAAAAAAACAGCTGCAAACATTCATTAATAACTGGAATTCATTAATAATTGGAACATGGAATGTATGAAGTATGAATCTAGGAAAACTGGAAGTTGTCAGAAATAAAATGGAATGCATAAAGATTGATATCCTATGCATTAAACCAGAAAAAACTAACTCATTGCCATCAAGTTGATTCCAACTCATAGCGACCCCCTTTAGGTTTCTAAGGTGGTAAATCTTTATGGAAGTAGATTGCTCCATCTTCTTTGCACAAAGTGGCTGGTGGGTTTGAACCACCACACATCTGGTCAGCAGTCAAATGCATTAGGCACTGTCCTTCCAGAGCTCCTTATCCTAGGCATTAGTGAGGTGAAGTGGGCTGATATTGGCCATTTTGAAGCAGACAATCATGTGGTGTACTATGCTGTGAATGACATATTGAACAGGAATGATGTGACATTAATCATAAAAAAGAATGTTTCAAGATCTATCCTTAAGTACAATGCTGTCAGTAATAGAAAAATATCTATACACCTACAAAGAAGACTAGTTAATACTACTATTTTCATATTTACTCACCAACCACTAAAGCCAAAGATGAAGAAATTGAAGATTTTACCAACTTCTGAAGTCTGAAACTGATGAAACATGCAGTCAAGATGTATTGATAATTATTGGTGCTTGGAATGTAAAAGATGGAAACAAAAATGTAGCATCAGTAGTTGGAAAATATGGCCTCAGTGATAGAAATAATACCACAGATTACATGATAGAATTTCGCAAGACCAATGTCGTATTCATTGCCAATAATTTTATTCAACAACATAAACAGTGACTATACACGTGGATCACACCAGATTTAATACACAACAATCAAAGCGACTTTATCTGTGGATAAAAGATGATGGAGAAGGTCAATATCATCATTCAGAACAGGGTTAGGGGCCAACTGTGGAAGAGGCCATCAATTGCTTATATGTGAGTTAGAAATCAAACTGAAGAAAATTAAAACAAATGCATGAGAAATAAAGTACAACATTGAGTATATCCTACCTGAATTTAGACACCATCTGAAGAATAAATTTGACTTATTGAACACCAATGACTCAAAACCAGACGAGTTGTGGGATGATGCCAAAAACATCATATGTGAAGAAAGCAAACAGTCATTAAAAAGAAAAGAGTGGAAGAAAAGACCAAAATGGATGTCAGAAAAGACTCTGAAATTGCTCTTGAATGTAGAGCAGCTAAACTGAATGGAAGAAATGTTGAAATAAAAGGGCTGAACAGAAGATTTCAAAGGGTGACTTGAGGAAAAACAATATATATGTATTGAAAAGTGCAAAGACCTGGAATTAGAAAACCAAAAGGGAAGAACACACTCAGCATTTCTCAAACTGAAAGAACTGAAGAAAAAACTCAAGCCCCAACTTACAATATTGAAGGATTCTGTGAGTAAAATACTGAATGATGCAGGAAGCATCAAAAGAATATGGAAGAAATACAGAGCACTGTACCAAAAAACAAACAAACAAACAAACAAAAAACCAAAACTGGTCAATGTTCAACTATTTCAGAAGGTAGCATATGATCAAGAACCAATGGTATTGAAGGAAGAAGTCGAAGCTGCACTGAAGGAACTGAGAAAAGCAAGGCTCCAGGAATTGAAGGAATACCACTTGGGATGTTTCAACAAATGGATGCAGCACTGGAAGCACTTACTCATTTAAGGCGAGAAATTTGGAAGACAGCTACCTGGCTATGTGACTGGAAAAGATGGATATTTACATTCCTTCCAAAGAAAGGTGATCCAACAGAATGTGGAAATTTCTGAACAATATCATTAATATCACATGAAGTAGAATTTTGCTGAAGATAGTTCAAAACCAGTTGCAGCAGTATATTGACTGGGAACTTCCAGAATTCGAGCTGGATTCAGAAGAGGATGTGGAAATAGGGGTATCAATACTGATTTCAGATGGATCTTAGCTGAAAGCAAAGAATACCAGAAAGATGCTTCTTTTTTTTTTTTGGACTCAGCAAAGGCATTTGACTGTGTGGATCATAACACATTATGGACAACATTGCGAAGAATAAGAATTCCAGAACACTTCATTGTGCTTATGAGGAACCTGTACATAGTCATTTGAATGGAACATGGGGATACTGCATGGTTTAAAATCAGGAAAGGTGGGCATCAGGGTTGTATCCTTTCACCATACTTATTCAATCTGTATGTTGAGCAAATAATCCAAGAAGCTGGACTATATGGAGAAGATCAGAGCATTGGAATTGGAGGAAGACTCCTTAACAACCTGCAATATGCAGATGACACAGCCTTCTTGCTAAAAGTGAAGATGAATTAAAACACTGTTAAAACACAAAGACTATAGTCTTTAGTATGTATTCCACCTCAACATAAAGAAAATGAAAATTCTCAAAAATGGATCAGTTAGCAATACTACTATAAATGGAGACAAGATTGAAGTTGTCGGGGCTTTAATTTTACTTGGATTCATATTCAACACCCATGAAAGCAGCCGTCGAGAAATCAGATATCATATTGTAGTGGGCAAATCTGCTGCAAAAGACTTCTTTAAAATGATAAGGGGGAAAGATGTCAAACCCAAGCCATGGTATTTTCAGTCATCTCGTATACATGTGAAAGTTGGACAATGAATAAAGAAGAAGAATGAAGATTTGATGCCTTTGAATTGTGGTGTTGGCAAAGAATACTGAAAATACCATGGACTGCCAGAAGAATGAACAAATCTATCCTGGAGGAAGTGCAGTAGGAATGTTCCTTGGAAGCAGGAATGGCCAGACTTTGTCTCATCTTCTTTATTCATGTTGTCAGAAGAGAGCATTCCCTAGAGAAAGATATCACACTTGGTAAAGTAGAGGGTCAAAGAGAAAAGGGAAGATGCTCAATGAGATGGATTAACACAGTGGCTGCAAAGATATGCTCAAGTATAGTGAGGACTGAGGATGTCACCAGACAAGACAGTGTTAATTTCTGTTGTACACAGGGTTGGTGTGAGTCAAAATGTACATGATTATGTGCTCAGCTGTTAACTGAAAGAGTGGCCATTAGATCCCACCAGCAGTTTTGCAGAGAAAAAGACTTAGCCATCAGCTCCCGCAAAGATTACAGCCTAGAAAACCATATGAGGACAGTTCAACTTCGTCCTATAGAGTCTCTTAGAGTTGGAATCAACTTGATGGCACAAACAAAACACTTGTCTCTCAGTCTCTGGGTGGTGCAAGTGGTTAAGTGCTTGGCTATTAACCAAAGATTGGCAATATGAATCTCCCCAGAGGCACCTCAGAAAAAAGGTCTGGTGATCTTCCAAAAGATCACAGCCATTGAAAACACTGTGCAGTTCTACTCTGAAACACATGGGGTTGCATGAGTCAGAATCCACTCAACAGCAGTTTGTGTGTGTGTGTGTGTGTTTGTGTGTGTGTGTGTGTGAGTGTGTCTCTGAATCATCTGGGTAGTGCTGTTAAGTGGAGCTTTCTAATATATCTGTGATAAGGTGGTTGAGCGCTAGTGATAGGATGGCTTCTCATGGGGGTACATGGTGGCAGCATTGAGCAGAGGTTTAATTTATTTCTGATAAGCAGATGAAATAGATGGTTTAGATATGCTAGGTGTTCTAATGAGTAACTATACTATAGCTTTATAATTGATGTTGTTTATACTTAAGTCTATTGCCATGAAACTTAAAGCATAATACAATGGTATTAATCAATTGTAAAAACAAACATGTCGTATCATGTAAATGCTGTGCTTACAGCTTTAATGAAGAGTTCAGAATAAAACTGTGAAAATTAAGCCTTAAATTCTGCTTTTCTTTTTTTCTAGACAGAATCAGCTGTTCCAGATTTATATCCTCTTTATCTAGAAATCCATATAGTTGTGGACAAAACTTTGGTATGTGTATTGGTTTTTCTTTTAAATGTTTGTTGAGAATGTATAATTATCCCTTGCTAAAGAGTAACTTAAAGATTCCAATATTCTTGTTCCCATGCCATGGAGAAAACAGAAAAATTTGCAAACTAAAAACCAGATAGTCAAAATGACACTAGTTCTGTCAGAAAAGTTTTATTTGAAAACTTGACAGAATGACCCTGCAGAACAAATTGATTCTTTTGCTGGCACTTCATGTCTTTAGGACCTCTTTGCTAAAAGGGCATGGAGGCAGCATCTTCTGACCTCTGACTTCACAAGACGGAGACAGAATCATCATCAGCCCAAGACTTATCCCTATGAGGCCAGAAATGCTGCCACTCTCCAACCCTTCTTGTCAATTCTGACACCAACCATTCCTTCCTGAGCAATCACAACTTCTCTACTGGGTTCAATAATTTGTTGCAGTGGCCACACAGAACTCACAGACAATACACACAATTGTGAGGTTTATTAGGGAAGTAACAGGCTACAATTCAGGTTCACGGAGGCGCTCAGGATACAGTTCTTCCATCAGGACAGTCTCACCTCTGCTATGCCCTCAGGCATGTCTCTTTGGCCCTTTGCCTCTCAGCCTGGCCTCTGCCCTACTGGGGCAAGTGTTACAGAGCTCTTTCAGCTCTGACAATAGGTACACCTACACGTACTCCACTCCTGCAGCAAGCCTCCAAAGGCACTCAGCTTTCTTGCTCTGTAGGCCAGGTAAGCCTAATGCTCTGTCTCATGCCTCTTGGTTCCACTGCTGCCATCTCTCTAATGGGCATCCCTCTGCTGGGTATCTCTGCCAAGAAGGTCCAGTACAGGGATCTTGGGTCCAAGGACACACTCCACTTCACCTCCAGCTCTTCTCTCTTGATGGTAGTGAGATCCCGCTTTCTGCCTCTAGGAAGGCTTATTTTAAGCCTGGAAGAGTGACAAAACTAACCAGTCTTACCTTTAAAGTTTTACACATCTTATTTGCATGGTCTCACCCAGAAGTCTAGTGGGAGTTACAAAGACTATGGCTAAAAATGCCATACCAAGTAATTCACTGCACTGCAGGTCACCTCCCAGCTTCTAGCCATTGTCCCTTTCACAGTTAAAAAATTAATAACCCCTTCATATCAGTTTAAGAATAAGCACATCCATGAAAATGTGTAAGCCAGCCACTTCATGCCTTTATCTCCCCCCATTTTAAGTAGCCAATTTCCAATTTGCCCATTCTTATCAAACCAGCACTCTGAGGAGACAAGCATGTTCATTTCTCCATAAAGAACCTGTTCCTGTTAGAACTTGGAGCATCTGCATCCGTAATTAAGTAAAGTCCAGTCCAGAGTAAGCCATTCATATTGCAGCAACTCCACATCAGCTCAGTGTCAAACATCTTCCTCTTTATTTGGTTGAGTTCTGGTGAGCTTAGGCCTAGCATCCCAGCTAGGTCATGGGTACCAGCTAGAATCTTGGGAGTCACATTCCTCCCTTCATTTCAGACCAGCCAGCCCTTCCTCTTGAGAGATCCCTAGCCTCAGTGGGTGTGAGGTCAAAGAGAACCAAACTCAGCCCTTTTCTTCATTGCTGCACTTCCCAACTTCCACCCATCAAGTGGACCCAGGTGGTCACAAGCAAGCAGCATACAAGGCTGCTACTCACCAGCTTCCTTTAATTCCAGTCCTGGAAGGGTTTTCTATTATGGACCATGACTTTCCTGACCTGTTGTTGTTGTTATTGTTATGTGCCCTTGAGGACCCAACTCATAGCGACCCCTCCTTGGGTTTCCGAGGTGGTATCACTACGGAAGTAGATTGCCCAACCTTCCTTCTGAGGAGTGGCTGGTGGGTTTGAACCACCAGGCTTCTGGTTAGGAGTCAAGTGCCTTAGGCACTACGCTATCAAAGTTCCTGCCTTAGATGCACTCAAAGCCAAACTGCCTGAAATTTAAAATGCTAAACAAGTCAGTATTTTTTTTTTTTTTTCCTCTGCAAGTCCTTCCTTCAAATGCAAATGTTCTGTTCTCTCAACAGATCTGGCTGGGTTTCCATGTCTTTGCAAATGCAAATTTCCTGACTCTGAAGGTTGTGGGTGGGGCTCAGATTTTCTTCCTAAGCCCTCTATACTCTAGACACACAAAGCTGGAAACAAAAGGCTGTGTTTCTTCTGGGCAAATTCTATTTCCCCTTTTAACATATCCAATCAAATATTGGCTGAAAGGGGACTTACACGCTCTCTGTTATCCTTACCCAATAATCATTTCTAATATACAACTATGTAAGAGAACATTTAATATCCATAGTGCATTCAGAGGAGCTCTGGTAGCATAGTGTATTATACAGAAGTGGATTAGACACCAACTAATGGAAAAATCTGAATGAAAACAGTACAGAGAAAGATGGAGCTATGGACTATCAGCTACTCTGATGGCACCAACAGCCTGAATATTTCCAAGCAGTGTTGGAGAATTGACCTAAAGATCAGCCCTGGTCACCTGTGCTAGTGGCCTTTGGGTAGGAAGGGAAACAGCAAGGAGAGAGATGACTTGCACTGTGGAATTTCAGCTGTGTAGAGGGTGCAGGAATTTTGATTGTTTACAAGCAGTGGCCATTTTGGATATTTAAAGTGATCATTGGTGCAGCCATTTTGAATGTTTACAACTGGCAGCCATTTTGAATGTTTAAAGTGACAGCAGTCTCATTCAGATTCCAGGGACCTAAGAATAGGCTCCATTTGCCAAGGATGGCAGGGACATACAGGAGGCTGACAACAGGAAAGAAGACAGGTAGTGAGTGGATAAGTGCTGCCATCTAGTGAATAGAGGAGCACAGTACCCTCCTTATGTAGATGAAATCTAAACAAAATAAAAAATACCAAAAAACCAAACTCACTGCGTCGAGTTGACTCCATCTCACAGAGACCCCTCCTTGGGTTTCTAAGGTATTATCACTACAGAAGTAGATTTCCCAGTCTTCCTTATGAGGAGTGTCTGGTGGGTTTGAACCACCAGCCTTCTGGCTAGCAGCCTTCTGCCTTAGCACTACACCACCAGAGCTCCTAAACAAAATAGGGAAAACAAAAATTGTGGGCAAGTCACTCCAACATAAAACCATCGATTAAATATAAACAAAAAACATCACAATGTCTTGGAGACAACCAAGCATCACAGTCCACACAAGAAGCAAGAGAAACAAGGGACTAGGATACAGATCCAGAACACATCCACAAGGAAGAAGCAGCATTGGAACACCCTGATAAGAAATTAAAAAGAATTATATTTAGGTACCTTCAATGGATTGAGAGACAGCTCAAGGAAAACACTGACAAAATTGAGAAGAATGCAGAGAAAACCCCAGAACCATTTTGAAAGACAATACAAGAACAAAATGACAAAATAAATGAAAAATTAGAAATGATACAAAATCTACAGATAGAAATCCAGAAGATTAATACTACATTTTCAGAAACAGATAACACATTGAATTGGCAAAGGAGTATAATTGAATCAATGGAAGACAAAATTAGTGAGATTGAACACAAATACCTCAGTGCTTCTTTGGAAAGGGATCAATCAGAAAAAAAGATCAAAACAAAATGAAGAAAGCCTAAGGATCATGTGGTATACCATTAAAAGGAATAACCTACATGTAACTGAAATTCCAGAACAGGAAGAGACAAATAAAACCACAGAGAAAATTGTTAAAAATTTGTTGGAAGAGAACTTCCCTGATATGATGAAAGATGAGAATATATCCATTCAAGAAATCCAATGAACCTCAAACAGAATAGACCCCAAAAGAAAATCACAAAGACATATCATCATCAAACTCACCAAAACCAAAGACAAAGAATCCTGAAAGCAGAACAGGAAAAACAAAAAGTTACCTACAAAGGGCAACGAATAAGAGTGAGCTTGGATTTCTCAGCAGAAACCATGCAGGTGAGAAGACAATGGGATGGTATATATAAAACCCTGAAAGAAAAAAATTTCCTACCAAGAATTATATACCCAGCTAAATTGTCCTCAAATATGATGATGAAATTAGGACATTTCTAGATAAACAGAAATTAAGGGAATTTGTTAAAACCAGACCAACCTTACAAGAGATGCTAAAGGGAGTCTTTTGGACAGAGAACCAACAATGTTGTTGTTGTTGTTATGTGCCGTCAAGTCGGACCTGACTCATAGCGACTCTTCCTTGGGTTTCTGAGGCAGTATCACTACAGAAGTAGCTTGCCCCATCTTCCTTCCGAGGAGTGGCTGGTGGCTTTGAACCGCCAGCCTTCTGGTTAGCATTCAAGTGCCTTAGCCACTATGCTACCAGAGCTCTCAAGAACCAATAGCAAACATCAACTGATCATTAACACAAATGATGACATCACCCAGAAACCAACCCAGTTATGGAAGTATCCAAAGTAAATAAGCCTACAAGATTGTAAGCAGGGAAGCTGAGATATCAATTGACAAATGAGGACAACTACAAATCAGAAAGGGGGAAAATTGCATAGTTACAGAACTTCTAAATGGTAGGGAAGTCAAGACAACTGCAAGATAGAATGGACTGTTCTAAACTTGGGAAGAAAACTATAAACCACAGGGCAACCTCTAACAACAATGATAAACCTTCATATCAAAATAAAAAAGAGGACCAGCACAAATGTTTAGCAAATACTAAAACAATAGCAACAAAGAAGTGATAATACGATTCATAAACAAAATGAGTTCAGCACAGGAGATTATATGGAACTAAGAAATCTGCAACACCACAAAAAAAGCACATAACAAAATGATAGCAGCAAATTCATACTTGTTGATAATTACATTGCCAAGAGAGTAAAAAGAGAATCTACAGATTGGGAAAAAATATTTGGCAACAACATATCTGACAAGAAGGTTATCCCTAAAATTTATGGAAAGCTCCAACATCTCAACAACAAAAAGATTAACAATCCAATTAAAAAATGGGCAGAAGACATGAATAGACACTTCACCACAG